AAAACTGTTCGACTCCCAACCCTGCTCTTCATTAGCCCCTTGCCGATGTGACAGGGACCGAGAGCCAACTTCTGGAGAGTCCAAAAATGACATCGCGTCTGGCACGCACAAAAAGTTGCTGAACACCACATTTTTCATTGCACAACACACACAAATTAATTGAATTTTAAGCAACTTTCTCTTCGGCCTCGCAAATTGTTATCAAATTTGTCTAGGAAAACCGACAAAAAAGAAAAATAATAACAAAACAAAAATTTAAAATTTAACAAAAACCAACCGAAGCCATGAGCCAAATCGGTATAGACTCTGCAGCAAAAAAAATTAAAACTCAAATTTTCGAATTTTATTATGAACAGTTGCAATGCAGGTATCTCTCAGTAGTGATGTTTTAAACAAATTGTAATGTAAATAAAAGTTTAATATATGAAAGATATATATATTTTGAAAAATTGCAAGCTAAATAATGAAAAGTATGTCAGAGTTGTTAATAAGCAATTTATTTTCTTTATCCAATATCCGTATTTGTATAATTTTTATGTAAGTAAGCTTTGTACCTAAAAGTTGTTTTTATACCCATGCCGAATGTATTATAATAATGTTCGTATGGAGTGAAGTATATATATATATGTTCTTTGTACCATTACAAAAATCTTTAAAGTTTTTATTTAGTTCTCGTTATCTTTACGGTGTCTTTCCTTATAGAATAAAAATATCAAAGAATGTGTCTTATAAAAATGTATCGTGTTATAGGAAGAGTGTCAGAAAGAGTATGCATCTAGTTGCCTTCTCGTGGTCGCAAAACTTTTCGGTAGTTGTTACTGGTGGCAGGTCTTCGGGGGTGTCGCAGGGGGGTGATTCGAAAGTAGTACAGGAACAGCTTTGGCAGCATCATGTACTGGTTAGCTGCGCTGGGACATCATTAGTCCTTTAATTGCCATAAATAACCACAGCCGCATTCATCGCACCCGCAGCACTGCCCAACCATTCCCCATTTTCCCCCCTCTCGCCACCACTGACAAAAAAGTTGTCAACGTTATTTTTGCAACTCCCTCGCACACTCATACACGCTCACACAACAATTCCCACGTGAATAATACGAGCGTGTGTGCGTGTGTGTGTTGGCGCATAGTTTACAGTTTTTGGAGCATCATGTCGAGCATATTGTCAAAGGGAAAACGCACTGCAGCAGGCTCAGGAGACAGGATATAGGATATATAGGTCCACGAAGAGAAAAAACATCATTAAAACCAGGATCAATTCGAAAATCATTACAGCATTGCACGTACTTGATATAAATTTAAATATTTTTAAGGCGTTAAAAATGTGTGCTAATTTTAAAGAACATTATAAATATTAAAAATTCTAAAGAATTTTGTTTTTTAAGTATGATAAAAATGTTTTCAAAATATGTGTATATATTTTTATATTATATTATAGTATATTTGTTTAACCTACTATAAATGAAAACAATTTGAAATACCATGGTAAGATGAAGACATTTTTAAAGTTAAATTGCTATGTTTTTTTCTCTGTTTCTTCTACATATATATAGGAAACTGACTGGGGCACTTTGACCAAATGCTATTGCAATTGCCAAATGCCTCGCTCGCTCACTCAGTCAGTGGATCCCTTGCCAATTCCTATTGTCAGCTGCGTGTAGTTGCGTGCAGCTGCGTATCCACCAAACCACCAATGCTGGGACCGAAAATACGCAAAACTATCCAAAACCACCCACAACCACCCTCGTCGGTATCCATCGGCCGCCCTCTTGTGCGTTTCATGGCATTTTGGAAATCAGTCAACAAATGCAACCACACGGCTTCCAAATGCATTTTCTCTTCTGGGCAGAATTTCGGATGGTGCTTTTTTTTTGGTGGGTAGCTTATGTGGGAGGCCGTCGGCAATGACTCTCCACTTGACAATTAGTTGGTTGGTCAAAAAGTTTCAAATGCCTCCTTAGTTTCTCCTGCTTTTTCAGCTCGACAAGTTGGCAAATGTTTCTGTTGCATTTTTGTGCACACTGAAAAATGCAGGTTACTACATAGTTTTACTCATAAATTTAGTTATTAACAAGAATATTTTTCCTCTCCCAATACATATAAAAATAATACAATCACAACATATCTTCATCGTTTCATGCCATAATCCAATTAAAAAAATAATATTACAATGTATTTAATTATAGTTTGATTATTTTGTGTGTGTAATAAATAGGGAAAAGCAACCAGTTTCAAAGGATCAGGGTAGCACAATAAAAGGCAATAAATAAACGAAGTTGGCCCAAAAGAAGCTTCTGCAGTTCCAATTGAATAGCAGGCAAAGTTGAACCAATTAATCCGATACAACAATCAACTACGGCCTTCATTAAAACTAGAATCTGGGTTTAAGCGAAGCGTATCAATTTCAAATAGAATGAATGTTGGGACTTTAGGTGCTAATCGAATTTGCATAGAAAATATTTCAAACAAAACTGAAAATTGAGTTCAATGCTTTTTGAGGCGAATATCAGTAACATTGATAAACCTGGGTAAATCAAACTGAGCACCAGTACTGTGTTAATCGAAGTGCATTTGATACGCAAACAATAGATAAACTGCAGAGTTTCAAGGGTGTGCAAATAATTGTTCTTCGAATCGGGCAGTCACAAAGGTCCCGGCAACTTAATTAACTTCCAACGAACCAACGGCAAATTGGAAATGGGAAACGTCTATAGAGAAGCTCCGTCTAAATCGGCTTGACAGAATGGTAATTTCAGCAAACAAAGGCGGCAATTATTAACAATAACAATAGAAGGGGCAATAAGCCACGCTTTCGCTGCAGCTGAAAAGCGAGTTGCAGGAATGCAAAACTCTATTTTAGCCCTCTGTTGGCAAATGCGGAGCATTGGAGCATATTAAGTTTACGCTCAGGCGGATTCAGTGAGTGACTTTGTGGCTGACTGACAGCCCGACTCGTTGGGGATTACGGTTTAGACAATGGCTCCTGTCGGGATTGGAAGAGCTTTGGGGGTTTGGGGCGATTGGGACGATTGCTGCCCCGATCCCTGGCATAAATGCAAATAAATACATAAGCATTGTTGGCAGACGCTGGCTGCTTGCCTGTTTGCTGCTTGGATTTGCGAGTTACAGAGGCTGTTACAGATTTCGGGAGTTTTCGCGTTTTTGCCAAGGCATCCTACCAAGAAATATTCCCCCAGACAGACGGGGTATATCCAGCCGACAGCTTTTTTGAAAAGCAAATGACGGGCTTCAACGGTGATGATTTATAGGACTTGTTTTAATAACAGTACTAAAAAACTTTTAGTTCAATCAAGCAGTTAATGGAATATGTCTAATAAATGTGTCTGAACACACAAAGTCACCCTTTAAAGTCAATGAATGTATACAAAGTTTTGACTTCAGAGTCCATACCAAAATTATTTATATATTAATGTCTGGCTTAAAAAGATTACCAATTATTGACAAGTCTCTCAGCTTGGTTCATTTAAAACAAAGAAGTAAATATATTCAAAGGACTCATATTATTCACATCTTAAATCGCTTACCACGAAAACAACAAAGATTTCGATGCAGAGTTTACCTCCACTTTTGTAAAAGTCAGTGTTAGATTGCCCCTTTGTCAAATGTCCTTGTAGAACATTGCTCCACTGAATGCTAATTACACGCGCGTTTGCCTTGTTAATTATCAATGCAGTTTAGCAGACATAGCCGCCATCGTCGGAGTCGTAAAATACCAGAGCGGCGAACATTAAAAATTGTTGCTCGCCTTTGAATTTTAATTGCGGATTCGGGGAGCTCTGCCACACGGCTCCTGCACATATTAAATATATTTCTGTATTTTTGCATAAATTAAAATGCAAATCACAAACAGTTTCATTAATAAACATTGCAAGCGGATGAAGTGCGCAGCCTATGCTGGACCGTAAAAGTTCCTTTGCTCTTAAGGAAGACTCGGCTACGAGGTCAAAGGGGCGTGCCCATAACTACATCCGATGAAAATCCAATTTCTTAAAGTGCCGCACACGCAGCCATTTGTATGCGTAAGCCGAATGGAAAGCGACATGAAAATCCTTCGAGCAATTAACAAAAGCTTGATGGTAACATCGGAGTGCGCCTCATTAGTGGAATAATACGATTCCGGAGGTATCTGAATTCATTCCCCAATTCATTCCCCAACCTTTGTATATGCAATTTGGATTGTGGATAGTTGATCTTCTAGACCATGAACACATATAATGGTTTTAAATAAGTATTAAAATAAACTTAAATAATGTTGTAAAAAAATATAAGATCTATCCAAATGTATTGTAATCTTTTTTTTAAACTTAAATCTAAGCGGTTCTTGAATGGTGGTTCTCATTTTAATATCATTGCAGAATTGTAACTTATTTTCGAATAATCTGTTTTTAGACTTCGGTTTGCCGAACTTAAATTTTGTTTTTTTAAGGTGAAAAGCTTAACCAAAAGTACCCCTCGGTCTTCTTCTAAGTCTTCTTAATATGAATAACAATTTTAAAGCATTTCAATTGTTGGTGCTGCAAATCACATAACGCAATCATACGGTATTCTTGTTTGAAAATGTAATTAACTATATGACCGAAGAACCCAAATTCTTGGGTACCATTTAAAATTAGGCTTTTAAAAATATTCTGCCAAAAATTTAACGAGCAAACTGGATGCCCATTGCAAACTTATTCGAATGTTAAATTGCGTATACATTACCAAGCTACACAGGGAGACCATAATCTTCTCTGCGATCTAGTGCTTTCATGTCCTGGACATAGATATGGCCATTGAAAAAGTAGCAATTTCGTGCCCTAACTCTGACTAGACACTCACATCAAGAACACTGGCTTACAAAAGTGTTTTCCATGTACCACATTACAGTATTTTACCTAAGATAACTAGTGAAAGATTAAATTAAGTAATTTTAAACAAATAAATAAATCAACATACTTCAATTAAACAATTACAGTAATGTTTTTTAGCCATAAACAATTTTATAAAACATTAATTAAATACCTGTGCAGTTCCCTAGTGAGAACTATTTAACTGGTGTAGCCAATACAGCCCATCCGTCTGAGTTGCAGTCTTTTCAAATTCATTCATTGGCGGCAGACATCCGATGCACTGAAACGAAAAATTTAATTTTCATAATACTGAAGAGGAACACTGCAATTCCCTGGCTGCAACAGCCCCGACTCGTCCGCTGCCTCTTTTGTAATGGAAATTGAAAATATTTTCCCTCGGTTTGCCATGTTTACACTACTCACCGCTCTCTGCTTTTCCGACTCCCTATTTTCCCAACTCTGGCTCCTTGTTTTCCCAACTCCGGCTGAAGGCAGTCTGCAGAATGCAAGCGGAGATGATTTTTACTGCGGCAACCAGGCATTTGTATGCGATTCCATGGGCATTATTTTGATAGGTAGCTGCCAACCAACCGCAGAGCAGCACATATGAGTTTTGTGGACCAGTCTATTAATTGAGAATAAATATTGGTTAACCGCCGTCGAGTCATACCTCTGGTTTTATTCCAATTTCAATGAAATGCCAAAAATATCCAACAACTCAACAACCTGTTTGTCTGGCAAATTGATAAATCGAAACCAAATTATGAAATCGAATTACGGGTGTTTACTAACAGTAAGCCAGACAGCATTCTCCCTCGCTTCTGAGGCACATCGCTTTGAAGAACTTAAATTATACCTCAGTATTCGTTTTAAATTAAATAATCATTGTAAAACAATATTTTCTCTTAAAGTCATATGTATATAGTTTAGATAAGCTAGGGATAAAGAACATTCCAACCATCGAACTTTCAGTATTCAACGACACAGCTAATAACATATTCACACATCTGCCCTGACAGGCCATAAAGATGTGCATGAAAAAACATATATAAATATGTTGCCATCGTAATAGCCATAAATAACACATATGCATTGCCTGTGATGTGTTACTATACAATATTTTATACACATTTCGTCGCTACCCGTAAATAATTACATGGACGTGTCCGTTCCGCGATTTAGCGCAACGAATTAAAGGCGCAAACGTTGCGTCAAATACGTGACTCCAATGCGAAAAGGATCCGGACATCACACCCCACTGTACAGTATACAGGATAACAGGATACAGTACTATACTATATGCAGTCAATATCGAGGGCCAGTTCATAATTCGGTTTCCCTTCGAATGGCCATGTCAGCCATAAAGCTGCATAGCAGATTGGCCAACGGCAAGATGCCGGCGTGGCGATTAGTTCGAGTTTAACTGCCTAAAAAGCGGCATCGAGCCAGCAGCCAAGCGGTGCCATGTCATTCATTTGTCCACGCCCGACTTCTTGCGGCGCATGTATAAATTTCCCAGCAGCCACGACATCCACATGGATCCCAAGGAACGAACAGGAGCAGGAGCAGGAGCAGCAGCAGGACCCTGGACTCTGGACCGGCTCTTCGCTATCTTTGACTACATAAATCACGGACTAATAAAGCCGCAAGACTGAATGTAGCATGAACAAGAAAAAAAGAGAGGAATGCAGAACTGCTCCCCTGAAGTTGGTATACTCTTCAAAGGTTTCCATTTCAATTGATAATTAATTTTTCAGTGACAATCAATTAAGTAAAAAAAAAAGTATACAGAACAGAAGTACATTGAAGTACATACTTCAACAATATTAAATATTATTCGTCTGTTAACTTAATTCATTAAACTTTTAGAATCGATTACTTCTTCTTGTCTTTTTAGGCAGTAAATCTTATAAGTAAACGCAAACTATTTATTAAAAGAGAAAATTGATTGTGTTAGTAAAAAAATGTAAATCATTAAAAAATAAACTTTAGGCCACCAGCTGATTAACTTACACACTCCTGTTGTGCAGTACAAAAGCCCCATGGAAATGAGAATACCCTTTTGTGAGGTTCACAAAGGAAGGGAAACAACCAAGTGAGCAACGTGCACAAAAAGAAGAAAAAATGGCGACATGCGACATATGAAGTTTATTAAAATGACGGCTGAAGGAGGTGGATATGGATGGGCTGGGGGTCGACACTCCGAACAGGACTCTGCGCAGGACTCCCTCGGTTAGTCATACGCATAGTTCAACGTCATGTGGCGCGCGTCGCCATAAATATTGTGACCCTCAGCCTCAAAGGGAATGCGAATATGGGTGTGGGGTGGAGTGGCAGTAGCAATAGCAGTAGCTGTGCCCCATTCTCATTCCGGCGAAGGACCAGCATTCGTCCATAGTCCAGGAATATTTAAATTTTTATTACTACGGCAAACATTTGGCAAAAGTTTTATGATAATTTTCGGCCTGACCATCTTGTTGTTTCTGCTTTAAAAACTTGCTTACATTGTGCATTTCTGTTGTTGCGTTAGCAAAACTTACAATTACGGCCAATTAACATGTGTTTGTACAAGTGCAGAAACACAAACAGCAGAGCACAGCCCAACCCAGAATAGAGCAGAACGGAACCGAAAGGGCCGAAAAGAGAGGGCCTGGCCTGGCCGTATGCAAACAGCAAATACAACAATATTTTATTGCTCCTCCGACTGGGGACAACAGGCGGGGCCGAAAAACAACAAAAGCCGAATGACAGGGAACAAAAAGTAAGCAGGCATCGACAGCCTGGGCGGATCCTGGCAATCCTTTACATTGGAGTCCTGAAAACATCCTCGTCGCCTAATGAGAATCGACATCAAAATTCATGGCAGCACCTACACCCGTACACGTTCACCGCTCACACAGATACTCGCAGAGTTGCAAACGCAGGCACAGATACATTTAGAGATACAGATACAGATACAGATCCAAATGATGGAGCTCTCTCCTAAAGGCAGGTCCCTCGAACGTGCTGATGAAAACGGCACAAAAATGAAATATTTAACTAAATTAACAATCTTGTTTATTTATTCAAAATTTGCATAAACAATTTGGCCCAAAGACGAAAAACCAAAAGTCTATTTTCCGCCCCCGAACCAAACTTTCTCCTATCATTTCCCTGCCTTCATCTGCCGTTGGCCTTGAGTGTCTGGTTGGATTGTGGGTCTTTGGAAGTCAAGCATTTTTTACAGCAGTTGATAAGAAATAAAAGTCGATGAGGAAAACATGAAACACCCTTTGACCTTTCCTCAGCATATTCATAAGCCAAAGGAAAGGAGTTCTTGGAGAAACACACTCAGAAAAAATTGTTTAAGCCAATTCGAATACTTCATTCTTTTAAATGATTTTTTATTTTTCTGGTTAACTACTGAAAATACATACTTCAAAGTACATCTCGCGAGTTAATATAAAAAACTCTTACTCTATACATTTTTAATAAAAGAACATAAATTAATATATATTAATAATTTATCTAAATGTTTGTATTTAAGTAGGATACAAAAAATTCAAATATTTAGAACAGTAGAAACCGATTTTTGTACAATATTACTAGGACTTTTGGAACCTTTAAATGTCTTGTCATTTTTTTGTAGTGCAGGAGTTCTTTGCTATAGCATAACTTCATAAGAAAAACGAAGAGCTTGCAAACACTTCGATGTCAACCTTTGAAGTCAGCCCATTTATTCACGTTTTAGTTTTCTTGGGGAGTTGCCGTTTTTGTTTTTGTTTCGCCGGCACTTCATCAAAAACTTGAATGCTAAATATGTCGGTGAGCATATCTCCGAATGGCAAACAAAAACATGACAAAGCACCCAGCCAGGATATCTGAGTGGTTTGAGGATATAGAATCCTTACCTCCAGCTCCACCCTTGGTCGCTTTTCTCGCAGTTTTGGGGTGAGTGGTTCTTAGGTGAATTATGACTTCCTCGTGCGTGCGGATTTCCAGACTGTTTTCTGACATATACGCGTGAGCTCTTTAATATTTAAATTTAATTATTTTTGCCCCCCTGCCGCCATTTGTGTCTTATAAATGGCCGGCCATAAATTACGCTTATTAATAGATGAGCGCCGAGCGACTTCCGGGATCTGGGATCCGGGATCTCCGTGTTTAATGAGCCTCGGGCAGAAAGCTATATGTCATCTGCTCATTGGGAACCCCTCCCAACTTCCCGCATTAATTTCAATTTTAAAGCGCCTGACAATTATTGGCTATCAACTGGGCTTAGTGACGAAGTTGACAAGCGACTAAGTGATGACAGTCAACTACTTATGCAAGTCTGGATTTAATTGTAGTCCATGTTCTCGTTTTAGATTCCTTCTTAATAAGGCAATTATAAATGGATACTTTTTGGAATACCTTTGCATTTACATTATAACAACAAATTAATTAAGGAATTAAATAGGGTATTGAAAGCACAAGCTCTTTTTTATAAATATCAAATAAATATAATACAGAAAAATTTGTCGCAATAAATTAAAAGCATTTGAAAATAATATTTATTAAATATGTGTTGGAATTGGAAAAAAAAAATAACAAAACTATGAGTACAATTTTTAAAATTTTAGCATTGAAAAAAAAATGTTTTTACTTATAAGTTATGAACCCCCAGGATACTATATAATTAAAGAATTTCATAAAGTTTCGAATCGGAAACGGAATCGGGAACTTGGGGTATTGGGTGAATGTGGTTGACAGCGAACAAGCGCCAAGTATGTCGTCACACTTGTCAGTATCGACACTCACACACTGACAGCCTGGGTGTGTGTTTGAGTGTGTGTGGCCGCAGTCAACCCTTTTGATGTCACTTGAATTTTAATGAAAAATTCACACATGCCACAAGCGTACAAGAAGAACACGAGGCAAAAGGAGCTGCCTCCGCAGCCACCCACTTTCTGCCACCCTTCACTACTGCCACTTTGTGCATTACGTTCCTGTCACATCGGTGGGTAGGCGGTCCTCGTCCAGTAGGCTTGGGCATGATCTGGTGGGGTGTGGTCAAACCAGGTTCTGTGCTGGACGTTGGCAGGCTAAGTTTCGGCGGCACCATCCACGCTGGATCTCGCCGCATACTCCACCGTTTAGACACTGATAGAAAATCCAATTCCAAGTAGGGATTAGTATCGTTTTAATCGTTTTCTGTTGTTGATGCGTCTAATAAAATTCCCATAGACCCAGTTTAGTTCATGGTTTCCCATTAAGCTATGTCCACTTACAGCTCCGGTCGTAATAATAGTAGTGGGACAATATAAAGTGCTCAAAAACATACCTCTAAGTCATAGGACTGCTATCGTTTAAGTTAATATTAATGTTTAGTTAAAAACGGAAAAAATTAGGCTTACAAAACTTTTGATACTGGTTTTTAAGGATTAGTTTACCTCTCTATAATATATAAATATAAAACTTATAAATACTAAGGAAAATACATTTAAACAACAAGTCCACGTCCATCTTCACTTAATATCGGCTTACAAATGTTTTTAGTTCCTTTTAAATAACTAATCAGAAAACATTTTTTTATCAATATTTTTAAGACATAGCTTACAATATTAAAGCAATAATAAATGTGAATTCACATATGCGCCTCCACTTAGTTAATAGTTTTAGCTTTACGAAAACTTTAACAAAATTCTACCTTGCTTCACACTTAATCTATGTAAATTAAATAATGAGAACTTACCTAGTATTTGTAAGAAATTTTTAATTTTTACGGTACTGAAAAAGGAAGGAAACAAAAGCAAGAAAGCCTTC